TTGGCTGTCCCTCATCAAGACATTCTTTGCTGAAGCTGTTATAGACTTCGAAAAAAAAATATAGGTTAAAGGAATAGATTTTTCTAATCTTCATCGTGTCTGTGGCGTAGGCATTGTGAACGCGCTTCGTAATGCCGGAGTCCTGGGTTCGATCCCTGCTGCAGACGATTTGTCTTGCACTGGTTTCGACAGTGGTTCCGAAAGCTGACTATTCAGAAAGCAATGGCAAACTACCAGACGCAAAATTTGCCTAGAAAAACCACAACATTCAATAGATGCTAGGGTTGGTTTTGCTACGTCAAATAAATGATAAGCAACTTACTTTCATCGTGCCTCTCCCCTCTCTTTAGACAACATTCGTCTTCATAGATGGATCCGTGAAGCGCGGATCAAGGTCAGCATGGGCATACACAGCGCAAAGAGTGGCGAAAGCAATACATGAGGACAGCAGCGCTTACCAGACAACCACGTCAAGCATGACCATGGAAATAGCCGCTGCTTCTAGAGCTTTAGCATGGGTATCCGAGCAAACCGCCACACAGGCAGTTATTGTATCAGACTCCATGAACATGCTTCAGAAGATAGCAACAGGCGGTATGCGCTCTGAATTGAAAGAAAGCAGCCGAAATCGCACTTAACCTCCCTCACCTAGATCTACACACATGGTCATGCGGGCGTAAAGGGAAATGAGCGAGCGGACCAACTGGCTAGCACTGCACTAAGGATTGTGGGAAGAAGCTTGGACAGAGCAGATATCCTCAACGCTGTACGGACTGGCCTAGTGGATAGGGAGGAATCCCTTAAACTAACACGATTGCGTGACATGGGAGTAAAGCATGGTGAAGCAAGTCTATGCCGACTTCGGGATAGGAGACAATATAACCAGCTTCTCGTGGGAACAGTTAGTTAAAGTACTCTGGAGTGGCTGCTGCATCGAGGACTGAGCACGCATGGGAATGCCCAATGTGCAGTGACGTCGATTGTAATAACACAACATTGTTCCTGCTTTAGTACATTATTATGTTACCGTGTTATCTGTTCCTTTACACAATCAATGGAAATGACAAAAATCGAAACACTTTCTTTACTAGTGCATCAACTGATATGCATCTATTTCATAAATAAAGTGCACGCTTTCAGTTTTCCTCATATTAAATATATTTTACACAATATTTCATTAGAATAGCTACAACAAATGTAATGTAGGCTATTCATGCACTTTGTGTATACGTGGGAATCATTTCTAAGTCTCGCTGGAAATCTTCATCACAATGATGATAATCTCCTCCTTTTCTTTTACTCCTCCTTCTTCTTCTTCCTCGTCTTCCTTTTCTTCTTCTTCTTCTTCTTCTTCTTCTTCTTCTTCTTCTTCTTCTTCTTCTTCTTTTTCTCTTCTCCTCCTCTTTCTTCTTCTTTTTCTTGTTTTCTTCTTCTTCTTTTTTCTTCTTTTGCTTCTCCTTCAGCCATTTGAGCCCTTGATGTTTACTGCAGCAGATATCTCCAACCTCCATTCATCTTTGCGATTAATTTTTTTCTTTCTAGTTGGTAGTTCCAAACGTTTACAGGTCTGCAAGTATTCAATCTCTCCATCGTTTTCTGGGTGTGTCTCGTGGTCTACTCACATGCAGGTCTTTTGCGTACGTTGTCTTTTGTGTGTGTTATCTGCCCTTGTTGTCTTTATGCATCATCTTGTCTATTAGCCTGTAATTAACGGGGATTTAAACAGTGGCAAGGGCCAAAAATATTCAGTACGAAAGCACGATAGCCTTGACCTCCACACGAAACATCAACGACAGATTTATACATCACACATCAATGTCGCATTTATACATCACACATCAATGTCACATTTATACATCACACATCAATGTCAGATTTATACATCACACACCAATGACAGATTTATGCATGACACATAAATGACAGATTCATACATCACACATGAATGACAGATTTATACATGACACATCAATGACAGATTTATACATCACACACCAATGACAGATTTATACATGACACATCAATGTCAGATTTATACATCACACATCAATGACAGATTTATACATGACACATCAATGACAGATTCATACATCACACATCAATGACAGGCTTTTACAGCATACATCAATTTTGGCTTGTACATCACACAGCAATGATACTTTCAGACATCAAACATTGTAATAGGGGAAATTTTCACCCACATTAGGAAGGTTGGGGGGTAGGCCCAAGAATAACCCAAAACACCAAGATATTCCAGATACTCGAATTAAACGAGGGTTTTGAGATAGGTGATGACCACGAGTTATCACGGGTAACACGATGACACGACCAAAGGTCGTCACGTGGAAGTAAAGGACCACCACGTGTTGCCACGTGAAACTAACCCATGGTATAAGCTCAAACTTGATTGTGATCAAGTTAGTTGGTGTCGACTTGTTAGAGCGAAAGGACGCGAGACTGAGCGTACGAATGTCAACGTGAGATTTCTGTGGTAAAAGGAAAATCAGACGACGACGTGTGAAAGTCAAGATCAGCCAGGCCAGTCTGTGTAATGTCCAGAAGATCAACGAGATGCATCAGGGCAGACTCTGGTCAGTAAATGCGTGAGGAACCCGCTTGTTGAAGGCTGCGTGAAGTGGTGTGCGAGAGCTGCTAGTAGGACAACAACTGGACTCAGATGTGAGTTGTAACATGCCAATAAACTGATGTTCGTACGGCTAAGTCGGTGTCGGCTTGTACCAGTTATGTTAACGTAGAGTGTGTGCTAAGAACATTCATGACATACACATAAACACCCACTAGACAACAAGTGAGATCATTGTAAACATAAATTTATATATTCTTGTATCACACATTGGTGATTTATCAATATTTCACATATCAATGACAGATTCATACATGACCCATTAATGACACTAGTATATCACACATCAATGATACTTATCAGGATTGTCGCCGGTGCTAAAGAGCCTCTGCACTCTGCTGAGCTTTTTCTGACTCAGACTTGGGTTAGACGAAGAACGAAAAACGTATCTCACACCTATGACAGATTTCTATATCACACAGTAATAATACATCTTGGTACAGCGGCTAGGCGCACACCTGCGGATCGGAAGGTCGTGGGTTCAGATCATGTCTAAGCCGCACTGTTTTCAACAATGGCCTTGGCTCCTAGATCGACTTAGCCATAAATGTATACCAGAAAGTCACTGAAAGTAAAGGCGGCTGACATCATGTTGATCATATCACCCACACAGCTCGACCCAGTCATGGTTGGGGACCAGTGCAGTCCTAGAACGTAAAGGCGGCTGGCGTGACGCTGACCACGTCATTCACTAAGTACCGATTGATCTATAAAATATAGGTCTTGCCTTATATGCCCAGTACCTGAAGAAGTGGAAAAGGATCCTTTTCTTACTTACATTACCCACCGAGGTGTCCATCTAATATAGGTATGACCCTACATGCTCAATATTATGAATTAATCAAGTAACATAAAGTGTATTGATCGGCACTCGTAGAAAGAAGTAGAAAGATAGAAGAACACACTAAACAACACAAATCTCAAAAGCTATCGTTACCGTGCCGGGAATTGAACCTGTCACCTCCAGACGGCGTGTGCGCTTCGCCATGGATATAAGTGCACTAAGAACATGGTCAACCACCCCCACCCCAGAAAAGGTGTCTTGTTGGCCATATCTATCGTACAGCTTGAAATCCACAACTATGGAATACGGACAAAATTCATTTCAAACCTTTAAAATAGCACCATAGGTTACGGAAATTTATATTAACGAAGCATATGCCGAATAACAAACAGCGACAATTTACGAAAACAGTAGACCTTAATGCTTTGTCTAGAATACACAAACATTCAAGAAAGGTATTTGATTGGTTGGTTATTTATTTATACATGCTCAATAGACCCGTCCAGTCATCACACAACAGTGATACTCATCTACACAACAGGTTTTGAGGTTATTAAGAACGGATCAACATCATAACACACGGGTAGTAACCCATAAGTGCTCCGTTCTTTGTCTAACCCAAGTCTGAGTCCGAAAAAGCTCAGCATAGTGCACAGGCTCTTGAGCACCGGCGAGAATCCTGAAATATTTTGAGTAGATTTTTAACTCCAAATTTTGCCCGGGCAGCGACGTTATGCTACTCTTTTCGATTTACAGCTGCCAAAGGATTTGTGTGTGTGTGTGTGCGAAAACAATGCACATAGGCGTCCGATATCATTACCCAGGGACCAGGGGGAATTACCAAAAGTCCAAGTCCACGTGAAAAAAGCCCAGCTCTTACCGGGGATTGAACCCGGAACCTCTAGCACTCAAGGTAGACACCATTACTCGAGACCACGCAGCTTCCCTAACTCTATTTACACATCTCACATCAAAGACACACACATAAGCGTCGCATGCTCACATCCCATACGAGCAGTGTTGCCACTTTTCTTTGACAAAAAACATCCAAAACGGAGTCAAAAAATATGTAAAAACATCTAAATTTGCGTAGGAAACATCTAGAAAAAAACATCCAAATAGAAAGAGTCAAAAATTACATAGCAATTGATATGACTTAGCCTATAGAATCATGTCATCATCTTTACTGAAGTCTGTCTGCCTTACAAGATCCACAGGATAAACTTAGCTTGGATGATGAAGTTGAAGCTTCAGATCCAAAATGACTCTGGGATGCTTTAGCTGTTCCAGTTTCTTTTAATAACCAATCAGGGAGCTGATTAGTGGAACAGCCTTTTTCTACTCTTATCAGGCCGAATATTATTGTTAAGATAGCATTTAAGTGGTCAAATTTCAACCTGTTTCTTAGGTTAGATTTGATAAATTCACTCCGAATGACAAACACTAGAAAAACATTTACCATCTAAACGTCAAAAACGCCATCTAAATGCAAGAAAAAACATCTAAATCTGGATGTAAAACATCCAAAGTGGCAATACTGCAGACTTGATTCCATGTCGTCCGGTAGCAGACTTACTTTACAAAAAACATCAGACAGAAAATGAGAACAGACAGACAAGCACACCCTAGACTGTACATCAACGGCACCCAGACATCGCCAGTGGCTTCAAACACCGGGCCCATGATGGCGGAGATGATGATGTAGTGTGCCGGAATTAGGAAGCCAATCAGTGACATTGTCTTGCCTAAGTTTGACTTGCCAGGATCCGATGTTTTGTTCTCCCCAGCGTCCTGGAAAATAACGGAATTCTATGAGACTTTAAACAAATTATGATTGTAATTTGTAGGGAAGGGAAGATAGATAGAAAGAGACACGCAGAGAGAGAGAGAGAGAGAGAGAGAGAGAGAGAGAGAGAGAAGGAGAGAGAGAAAGAGAGAGAGAGACACACATACCTACCCACCCCTTCACCCATCCACACACACACACACACACACACACACACAAAGAACATGTTAGTTTTACAAACCAGATTATAAAAAACCAAGAGAGTTGATAGTTGTGCTAATGACGCAACTAAGTTTTTCCAAAGGATATCATCTGTTGCAAACTTGGAACGTAATTACGAGGGTAAGTTAATAAGTAAGCGAGATTCTCTTGTGGGTTCCGGAGCCCCATTGTGGGGAAAACAAGAATAGACTCACTGCCTCCCCAAAAGCATGTCGTAAAAGTTGACTAATTGAGGAGTTTCCTTTGAAGTCGGAGTGCATCTCCCTGGGACGCAAGGAACCAACAGTCTACATTAAAGTGAATCAGATCTGCAAAACTGATGCACATGCTGAAGCAGGACTGCAGTTCAGAAGTGGACGAACAACCAGAACTTTCCACCAGAGAGTACAGACTGGTGAACGCAAAGAAGAAGAAGAAGTAAGCCACAAACGCCTGTCGAAACGGCTGTCGTGAAGTGATCAAATCCACCCCTGCACATTCGACTATTCGTGACGTTAACGCCCCTAGTGGGCAGGTCACATTTCAAATATCGACCCGTCAGGTGGGTATATAGTCACTCATATATATTTATACCTTTATCTGGCGTAATAGGTAATTCTATACACTCTAGTTGTCTTGAAAAGTCTACATTTTCAAACTTACAATTGTGGGATAGATATTTTCTGGATTAATATTTAGAATTCCGAGAGCGTTTTTACTCCTCGGCGCATTAATCTCGCGGGCTACTTTCTTTGAAAGGACGCCTAGCATCCAGGGTTGCCATATTGGCATTTTTTAAATGCCAGATTCCACAAATTTGGTATATTTAAAATTGAACTGGCATAAGATAATGAATTGAAATATTTTGGCATATTTGGTTTTTTTTTCTGGCTTTTCTTATCAAGATGTGCTCACATTTGCTTCATGGTTCCTCCGTTAGAAACACGCAGATTTACTAAAAGCAATTTAGATCTACAGTTAACATCTTTATTTCAGTTTGATTTTGTTGTGATGTCCTGGTACAGACTAACGGAGATTCGCACTATTTCTTATTGTATTTAGTGTTTTCCTAAACGGATCGTGACTTCGATAAACCAAGGCCCTCTGTAATTTATGTTAATCTACTAGAATAAATGCGGGATATAAAACCAAAACCAATCACTGATACCAAGTGATCCAGACTGTTCAGAAACTACTTGAGGACAGAAAATAGAGAGGATATAGACCTAGTTCTATCTGTCATATATTTTATTACTTTTATCAATGGCCATGTCATCCATAGAAAAAAATGGAAACCTTCTTAAGACATCGCAAGTATAATAGTAACTGGAAGAAAACATACTCACGGCTCAAAAGATCTTCAGACGGATTAGAGGCAGCATATTGTAAACTGTGTCAGTGCACTGATGCAACAAGAATTAGTAGCATATCAAATCATGAAAAATCCGAAGAACACAGGATGAAAATTGTCAAAAAGCCAGTCACAGCTTATTACAACAATGATTCCTAGGCAAATTAGTTAAAGGAAGCAGAGTTGCGACTTGCTGTAGGCATGACCTGCCGTTGTGTAATACGCACAATTGATCATCTAAGTGAAATCATAAGAGCGCATGGTCGGGGGAGTACACTGGAGCACATACAGTTGCAAAGAACTAAACGTTCATGTCCAAACATTATCATTGTGTGGCAGGTCCTTTGCAGAACGTCGCTCTCATCACGGTCTGCCTGAAAAAAACTCGGTCTCTTGCCAGTTCTCCAGCCTCATGAACTTTCACACTCAAGGAGTCACTTATATCCTGTGTCCATCTTCGTGTCGGTCGGCCCTGCCCCTCCTTCCTGGCACCATGCCTTCTGCTCTAATTTTTTTCCAATCCGTCGTGGCGCTTGATATGACCAAAATATTTCAGCTTTCGAGAAAGGATGCTGTTTATTAGCCAATCTTCCTCGATGTTCAGATCTTTTAAGATATCAATTTTTCTCATCTTCTTTGTCCAAGATATTCTGAGAATCTTTCTATAGCATTTCAGCTCAAAAGCCCCTATTCTCTTTCTTAAGGACTGAGAGATAGTCCACAACTCACATCCGTATGTAACCACAGGGAAGATGCATGCTCTCAAAATTCTAATTTTTATCTCCTTGCTGGTGCTTAACCATAAACTTTTAAGGCTGTTCAATCTTTGCATTGTAATGGTCATCCTCCTTTTAATTTCTGTCGAATAGTCTCAATTGTTGTTTATTATAGAGCCTAGATATTCAAAGTTTGTGACATTTTCAATTTCTTCATCATTTATTGTTTTTTTTTTTTTTTGTTTGTTTTTTTGGGTGACAGCCAGTTTTATCTGTGGACATTATTTTCGTTTTCTTTAAATTAAAGAACAGATTTTGATCTTCACTGTGCTTTTGGACAGACAATATTAAATTTTCTATTCCATTTACGCTGTTCGAAAGGAGGACTGTGTCATCTGCGTAGCAAGGTTTCGTAGTAGGGTTGCCACCAATTTTGAGCGGATCATAACTGTCACAAGTCTGGTCATTTTTGACATTTCTCATTATATTTTCCGCGTATATATTGAATAGGTATGGTGAGAGAATGCACCCCTGCCTCACCCCCTTTTGCACATCGAACCAATCATATGTTTCACCAGCTGCTCTGGAAATCCCATACTTTTCATAATAGTCTACAGTTTGTGGTGCTAGACACAATCAAATGCCTTGCTATAATCAATAAAACAAGCATGAAGATCTACATTGTATTCTCTGTCATCACTCAAGGAGATCCTTCTTCAGGAGCTTGTTTGGGCTCCAGTGGCTAAAAGACAGTTGTTGAAGGCCACCCATTTGTTATCCATCAAGTAGACCTTCCTCATGAGCTTTTTCGAGCTCCAGTGTATGAACTCTGTCGCTGTTTGCCAGGGTAACCAGGAAAAGAAACAGTCTACCCGAATCAGCCTGTTCAGATCACCATGGACTGAGGAGAGCCGTGACATTCACCAGACTTGATAAGTACATCAGTGATCATATACCTTATGCTCTTTTTACAGGTCCACCTGGAGCCATGATGGTGATCACCGATGCTCCTAATGACTGACTCTGGCTGATTCAGCAGTACTTTTTAGACTTTGATTCCTGAGCTCTAATTGCCTGTGAACATCTTAGAATGTCTTGATGATATATACGTGTTGCATTTATTACATGCCTTTGGAAGTTTCTATTACTGACTTGGGTGTCCCTGTTTCACTGTTCAAACTGTCTAGCTTTTATGTATGTGTGATCATTAATCTTAATCTGTGTTAACATGGCTGTGGTATTACAATATCATAGCCTGGGGGTCTCTTTTTATAGTAGTGGGGGCGTAGAGCCAAGTTGCGCCTAGGATTATTATATATTCTGTAGTGCCATAACTTGAGTTGCCATACTCCTGAAATAGGTTGGGTGTATATTGGCCACGGGATACCCTTTACGTCAATACGAGCCGACGCCTCAACATTTTTCTATTTCAGAGTGCTTTTGGTTCTCAAGGAGAAATCCTTAAATCAGGCACGCGACACGAGCGGTATGTGACAACGGCTCACATGCACATTCGGATTGACCAAGCTTCGCCACTGAAGATAAAAAGAAAATGTAGTGTCTAAGCTGGTCACTGACCTGTGTGATCTTGTTCACCATGACGAAGGGCAGGGTGTAGACGGTGTGCCGGAAGATGCCCACCATGACGATTGTCACGAAGTAGGCTTCTAGGCATCGCGTGGACATGAAAGCTATCAGCGGAATGATGAACACCAGGTGAAAGATGACAAAGAGCAATTTCTCACCTGCCGAAATAAAACAATGTACAACGTCAACACCAGTTTAATCAAATCTGCATGAGGTGATCTTTCAAGAAATCAATGATACTTTATAAGTAAAGTAAAGTAAAGATCCCTTTACACGCCTTTCGGCGCATCGGGCATATGGGCAGAGCGTCCCATATTTTCACAGACCATCAGAACTCTGTGGGTAATGTGGTCAGCATTACGCCGGCTGTCTTTACTTTCCCAGGACAGCCCATCCTGGTACCCATTTTAGGCTGGGTCGACCTGCGACGCCCCATACCACGATACAAATCCACACAGCCTTTACAGTCTTTACAAAATCGCAAAGTCTCTTTATTTCTAAACGCACACATGCGCGCACACACATAGCATATACGAGGATATTGCACACACAAAGCATATACGTAGATACTGCACACACATAGCATATGTGTAGATATTGCACACACAAAGCATATACGTAGATACTGCACACACATAGCATATGTGTAGATATTGCACACACATAGCACATGCGTAGATATTGCACACACATAGCACATGCGTAGATATTGCACACACATAGCACATGCGTATATATTGCACACACATAGCACATGCGTAGATATTGCACACATAAAGCATATACGTAGATACTGCACACACATAGCATATGTGTAGATATTGCACACACAAAGCATATACGTAGATACTGCACACACATAGCATATGTGTAGATATTGCACACACAAAGCATATACGTAGATACTGCACACACATAGCATATGTGTAGATATTGCACACACATAGCATATGCGAGGATATTGCACACACATAGCACATGCGTAGATATTGCACACACATAGCATATGCATAGATATTGCACACACATAGCATATACGTAGATACTGCACACACATAGCATATGCCTAGATATTGCACACACATAGCATATGCGTAGATATTGCACACACATAGCACATGCGTAGATATTGCACACACATATCATATGCGTAGATATTGCACACACATATCATATGCGTAGATATTGCACATCTGGTAATATGGTAATCTGGTAATCTTAGTTTCAGCTTCATAGCAAACGGGTCACCACACAGTTGCTCCGCTCCTGTGCCAACGAAAAACACACAAAATATTGATCACAATTCAAATGAAATCCGCAGCTCAAAGTTTCACTCCATGCACTCAACTTAGAAGCTAAGCAACAAAACTATATCGTTCCAGTCTACAAATGGAGCAAAAATGCAACGGCCACCGTCTGGCAGAAGCAAAAAAGTTGCCATTGCTAAAAGAAGTGGCCGTGCCTAGCGTCCATTTTGACCTGAAGCCTCATTATTAGCTTGGGAAGGGACTTAGGACATTACATCCACCAGCAAGCGTCGTCGCTACAACGACCTGTCTGCCTTCGTTAACGACTGTTCACCCAACAGCCATGCAGTTCTTTGGCACGAAGGAGCCACCTTGATCTTGGATTTCGGACTGCCGACTCCCTACAAGATGTTATGTTATTTTCTGTTATCACAATCGACGTCACTGCAAATTGGGCATTTCCGTGCGTCTTCATTCCTCCGATGCTGCAGCCACTCCAAAGTACTTTTACTAACTGTTCCCATAAGAAGCTGATTATATTGTCACCTATCTCGGCCTCGAAGACGGTAAAGACGTGCTTAACCATGCTTTACTCCTATGTCACGCAATCGTGCCAGTGTCAGGGATTCCGCATTATCCGTACAGCATTGACCATATCTGCTCAGTCCACGCTTTTTCCCGCAATCCTTAGTGCAGTGCTTGTCAGTTGGTCCGCTCGCTCATTTCCCTTTACGCCCGCATAAGATATTGCACACACAAAGCATATGCGTAGATATTGCACATACATAGCATATGCGCAGATATTGCACACACATAGCATATGCGCAGATATTGCACACACATAGCATATGCGCTGATATTGCACACACATTGCATTTGCGCAGATATTGCACAGACATAGCATATGCGTAGATATTGCAAACACATAGCATATGCGTAGATATTGCACATACATAGCATATGGGTAGATATTGCACACACATACCATATGCGTAGAAATTGCACAGACATAGCATACGCGTAGATATTGCACACACAAAGAGATAACTAGAGGATAATGCTGACTGCAGATGAGGTGGGGTGTGTGTGTGTGGGGGGGGGGGTTGTTGGTGTGAGATTACCTGATAAGATACAGTGAAATGTCTTGCACAAAACTGTGCAATGTATTGTTTGTGCCTTCCGTATTTCAAATCACAGGGACAACAACTGCTCCAGAACCCCAAGAGAGGGGTAGCCCTGACTATGCGAGTAAGTGATCTATGAGTTTCTTAACCCCCCCCCCCCCCCACCCACCCCCTTTTCCCCACCCACTCCGGGTCTTTTCGAGCGCCCCCCCCCCATTCTCCCATCTCCACTTTCCTAATGTTACAGATGATGCTGAATGAAGCCACTGCCTCCTCTACCACCCCAGAACGTGCAATGGGGTGCTAGACCCCATATTAGGGAAACGCTGGTCTCACCAATATGTTGAGCAATGTTCTTACACTTGTGAAACATTAGGGTAATGAGCATGATTATAAAGATGATGACAAACAACGTATCCTGGTTACTTACCCGCAAACTCAATCAACCGGCTGTTGACTATGCTAGTTATCGTAAAGAGAATGTAAAACGACAAGTTTCCTAAAGCTGCCGTCTGAAGACCCTTGTCGTAAAGATGTTTCCCCTCTGACCCCTGCAAGGCTCCAGGATCCCCGTGATAGATGCCCAACGTCACCGCATTGGCGGCGTAATACAGGAATGATATGGAAGCTCCAAAAGTGAAAAAAGTCGACGCGGATAAAATAATCAGCTTCTTCTTCATCCTTGCTTTCCCGTCGTCCCTATTCGGGTGAAGTTCTTTTGCGGGAATTTCAGTAGTCAGGTTAGCAGCTTCACTAATTGGATTTGATTTCTGGGATTCACGAGAGAGCACACAACTGTCATCTTGCATGTTGGACTCATCCAGCTCTGGCACAGCTGTAGAATGTGAAGGGTGTCGTGTTTCTCCCCAAGGTTTGCTGTCTACAGAAACACTTCGGTATAGCTTATGGGAGTCAGTCACTCTTCTGGGCTTCAGGTCATCGTCAAGGCTGACAAGAGAGTGTGCAGACGAGGACATTTTATTTAACGTGGCGTAGGTGCTTACAGGCTTGTCAGAATGCAGGAGTGGTGACTTCAAGGCATCTGCTGAGTCTGTGTTAAGAATGTGGGGCTTGTAAGAGATAAGACGCCTTCGCCCAGGTAGTTCCGAAGTTGTTCTCCTTGCGGAGTCTACCTGAGCCGTTTCCAGCCTCATCTGAGTGGCCTTTTTGGTCAAGAAATATCCGGTCAACGTTGTAGACATGAACCCACCGGTGACGGCAATAAAAAGAAGTGTGCAAAGGAAGATAAGCACGGCTGATGTTCCATCCACGTGGAAGGCTTGGCCAAGAGCGTCAGAGAGGTCCACGACACCCAGCAAAGAGAACAGAGTTCCTGAGGCGGCTTGGACAAGTGTAGCCATCACCAGCAGTTTGACGTGCTGAAACATGGGCACACTCTCCAGGATGTAGGCCCGACTTAAGGGCATGGTCGAGTCGTAGCCAATGTCCACAAAGGCAAAGCCACAGATCGCCAGGTACGCCGTTGTGGGCAGCCCGTTGTCTTTGTTGGTATCAGAATCTTTCAGTGTCTTGGTCTCATTTGTATGGCTCCAGTCAATGAAGGGAGCAGGGTGGCCACTCACATTATACTCGTCGCCAACATCAAGTGCCATTGGAACGCCTGGAGTGGACAGAGATGTTTCTGCCTCCACGCTATGAAGAGCTTCCCTCAGCAGCGACATCTTCAGTAGACCAGACACGAGAAGAATGATGATGCCTGCCTGGAAGGAGACCATTCCCACGAACAGGGAAATCATCTTACGTCTCTGTAACAGATAACACAGTTTATGCTGTATGTCTCTTTGATAGATTGTTGTTACATGTCTCTGTGATAGATTGTTACATGTCTCTGTGATAGATTGTTACATGTCACTGTGATAGATTGTTACATGTCTCTTTGATAGACTGTTACATGTCTCTAGAATAGATTGTTACACGTTTATGTGACAGATTGTTACATGCCTCTGTGATAGACTGCTACATGTCTCTGTGATAGATTGTTACATGTCTCTGTGATAGACTGTTACATGTCTCTAGGATAGATTGCTATATATAAAAGGAGGCGCCATCTGAAAAAATATTGAACACCACGACTTTGATAGATAGTTTAAAATCTCTGTTGAGCATAGTACACTTGTATTTCTCTGTAATTGATGACACACACACACACACACACACACACACACACACACTCACACACACACACACACACACACATGGTTTACTTTGTCGTGTTGAATTAATTTATTTACTTTCTTATTGTGTATTACTGATTACATAATGTTTTGTTATTTTACATTCTGTGGTTAGCGTCCATCTTTTACAGTTCTTAAGTTGTCTGGAATGCATGTTCTATTGTGTAGTTCATTCTGTACTGGGTTAATTAGACTAGCATAGGATTACTAACTAGTCTGGGTGCTTATGAGTAGTGGGGAAGTAGTCCATGTTGAACCTAGGTATGTTAATGAATGCTGTAGTGTCATAATTTGAGTCGCCTTACCCCTGAAGTAGGTTGGATGTTCTTTGGAGCTGCGGGATACCGCCTAGCCAACACCTCAACACTTAAACCACTGTTGATCTTACAGCTGTGACACCACAATCCATCTATAGACAGAACCAAGTTTATTTAGAGAAAAAAAAAAAGATACTGATACCACAAAGAGTCTAAGAAGGTGCCAATACTCACCACAAAGTGTCTACTAGTGTAGCGATTTCGGGGAAGAAAAAAAAAAGGGGGGGGGGTAGGGGTGTGAATTATATCTAAAGTGAGTTGTCGGCACTGTTTTCTACCCCACCAGGAAACCACACCCTGGGTAGACCTCTATCGTTGATCTCAAAGCACTTACCTTTGGATTCGAGCCTCTGTCTGTCATAAACCCAATGATGGGAATAATGGCCATGCTGGACAATCCACAGATGATCCCGTTCAGGCTGACCAAAGACAACGGCACCCCAAGGTACTGTAGACTGGGGAACAAGAAATCCTTTAAAGTCACCAGGCGATACAGTAGCTGGTTGCAACTCTTACATACAACGACACCTATCTTCTGATGTCATTTCGACTTGGATGATGTCAAAGTCATGTCATGTCCGGTGATTAAAAGTCAGACATTGACTTGTCTGTCGTGTTATGTAATACATATAATTGGCGCTGGAACATCGGGGAATCGGGTCCCTTGAGCGCCTTCCCTCAGATCCCGTAAGGACCCCCTCCCCCATGTGTGGAGGGCTGAGCGCATGTATATATATATATATATATATATATATATATATATATATATATATATATATATATATATATATATATATATATATATATATATATATATATTCATGTAATAAAGTTATTAAATACGAGACAGGTGAGAAGTCCATCAGGTTCTGAGTTCGGACTCCTGTGTACACAATTGCCTGTTAAAAAGCTTGTTGCTTATTCTTTACACTAGACGAGGGCTGCGTGGTCTCGATGCATGGTTTCCGCCTCAAGTGCTAGAGGTTCCGGGTTCAATCCCTGGTAAGGGCTGTGATTTTTTTCACGTGGACTTGGACTTCTAGTAATTCTCCCTGGTCTCTGAGTAGTGAAATTGGACGCTCGTGTCCATTGTTGCGCACGTGAAAAAAATCCCTTGACAGTTGAAATTCGAAGAGTAGCCTAGCGGCGCTGTCAAAAATCTACCCAAAGTATTTCAGAATTCTCACCGGTGCTACAGAGCCTAGGACTCAAACGGGTTAGAAAAAGAAGGGAGCACTTATGGGTTTCCACCCTTGTGCAATGATGTTGATCCGTTGTTCAAACCTCAAACTTCAAACCTTTACACCGGACGTTGCGACACCAACCTCAGCATTTGTGTGGGTTCCAGGGTCCCACTGTGGGGAACACAAGAATAAAACCACTGCCTTTCTAACATGCATGTCTTAAGAGTCGAACTAAGTGGGGTAACTTTCGAAGTCGGATTCCATCCACCAGAGAAGTATGGAACCCAGAGTCTGCATACAAATAAGCATGCAACGGATGTGTATGCAACGCTCAGTTTCTGGAACAAGACTTAAGTCCAGAGGTGGACGAACACCAAGAGATTTTCTCCGGAGTGTACGCCGGTGAAGACAAAGAAGAAGTTAACTGTTTATGCTTGTACTACAAAAATTTAGTTTGCCAGTGCTCGGTCAAAGATCGAACTTATCTTCTTCTTCTTTTTCTCTACTTCTGGAATGCCTCGCAGAGTCAGGACAGGAAGAGAGCTTTGGAACAGGCCCTTCTGTTCGCTTCGTATACTGTACTTTTCTGTGTCTCTGATATTTATGCGTTCTGTATTCTGCGTGGTCGACCTCTGTGACTCTTTTACCACTGCATCTGTATAACATTGCTCTCTGTGATGCCATGACCGATGTCAGTCTTGTTACATGGCCAAACCATTTGGTTTGTTACGTTGTTTATCTATAAGTTCAGTATTGGTTCTGTGCCGACTTTCCTTTTGATATCATCGTTCCCAAATCGAACTTACATCTAGCATAGTACGCAAACATTTTATTTATGTCGTGAATGTTTTCCTTCTGCCGCTCCATATCATTGTCAAAATGAAAGCAAGGCGGTCTGATGCCAGATCGGCCGCAAACTAAATCACACCGAGTTCGTAACGCCATAAAGCTTCAAACTCGGAGACACTTACATGAGAACCTGGTAGATCTGCTCAAACGTCATACACATCTCCATCCCACACACAGTCATCACCAGCAACACCTGCTTGCAATAGCCCACACCCTTCTGTGGCGCCCGGGCCACTAGTGGTGTCTGGTGGCCAGGGTTGAAGTCTTGCTGGCCGTGTAGAATGATGGACATTTGCATGGACTCGCTGACAGATGCTGCCGACGCCATTACTTGAACGGACAGGCTCCGCCGCTGTGGTGTGTGGAGAGTGTACGATTGAGTAATGATTGGGGGATGTCAGAGGAATGGTTGTGCAAAAGTACACACATACTGGCTCATACAGGTATAAACACAAAGGTACAATTACGCAAAGGAACACACACATAGGTGCATACACGCATAAGGACTTACACATAGGTACATACACGCACAGGGACACGAACACAGGTGCATACACATAGATACATACACGCACATGGACATACACATTAATACATACACGCACAGAGACTTAACCAAGTTAATACATTTAAATATCTGGGAACAATCATATACACAGATGGAAAATGTGTGACAGAGATTAAAACCAGAATAGGTCAAGAGAAAGCTGTATTTCAGAAAATGAAAAATATCTTATGCAATAAATCGCTCTCATTTAATGTCAGAAAGAGGGTGCTAAAATGTTACATAGAACCTGTTCTGATGTATTGCAGCGAATCTTGGAATGTCACTGAACACTTAAGAAGAGTTTGGAAGCAACAGAGATGTGGTTTCTGAGACGAATGTTACGAATACCTTGGACGGCCAGAGTAACTAACAGCGATTGCTTGAAAGAAGCTAATGAAAGTAGATCTCTATATACAACAATAGGAAAGAGACAAACACTGTTCTTTGGCCACACAATGAGAAAAGAAACATTGGAGAACACCGTGACAACTGGAAAGATCAGTGGAAAAAGGGGTAGAAGCAGACCAAGAGAGATGATGGTGGATGGGCTGAAACGATGGCATGGAGGAATATCATCAAGAGAGCTGTTTTAGGCAACCAGGGATCGTGATTTGTGGAGACCCATGAGTTCCTACGCTAGTTGGCAGGGCACATGATGATGATGACAATGATAATAGGTACAAACACGCACAGGAACTTACACATAGGCACATACACGCACAGGTTCTTACACATAGGTACATACACGCACAAGGACTTACACATAGGTACATAGGAGCACAGGGACTTACACATAGGTACATACACGCGCACATGGACTTACACATAGGTACATACATCCAGAAAATGCCCATAAATAAATAAACACTGTGTCACCAACATAAACCAGACAAGAAAATAACAATGGACATGAGATTTGTGTTTACTAATGAAGTACTGCAGCAGTTTATAAAACGAAGAATATTCTTTGCACTCTTTCTTTGTTGTTTGGGACGGGGAAAGAGAATTCTCATAAATCCTACCCTGATGCACGGAAGTAAATCATGGACAGATGGACGATTTGTGAAAAGTTATTTGCAAACGGCAGGGACCCGGTTTTAAAGACGACTGACGAGAACACCCTATGTAGATAAAAAGAGTAATGGAGACGTTTTGAAAGAAACTGACTCACGTAGAGAACTGATTGCCCACATCATAAAGAGACAATCTACATTCTTTGGTCATGTGATGAGAAGGAGAAAACTGGAGTACATCATGACGGTGGGAAAGTTGGAGGGGAGGAGAGGCAATGGAGGACCAAGAAGATTTTAGAAAGTCTGACATCATGGCATGGAAGATCATCTGTGTCAGAGGTGATTGAAAGTACACGAGGCAGAAAGTTGTGGATAGACATGACTACCAACGCTACATGGCATAGACTATAAGAAGAAGAAGAAACATAAGTGGAAAAAGAAACATAAGAAGAAGAAGAAGACGAAAGAGGAGACGCAGACGAAGAGAGACGAGGAAGACGAAGAAGAGAGAAGAAGACGAGACGAGAGAAGAAGAAGAGCCGAAGAAGAAGATAGAAGACGAAGCCGAGCGCCGATATAGAAGGAAGAGGAAGAACAGGAAGAAGACCCCGAAGATGAGCAATAGGAAGAATCCTCTAGAAGAAGCGCCGAAGAAGAAGAAAGAAGAAGAGAGACAGAAGAAGAAGAAGCAGACGAAGAAGACGCAGAAGAAAGAAGAAGGAGAAGCCGAAGAATATCCGAAAACTCAATAAAAATAATAATAATATTTAAATAAAAATTTTAAGAGGAGGAAGAGAGAAAGAAGAGGAGCAAAGAGAAAAGAGGAGGAGGAAGAACGGGAGAAGAAGGAAGTAAGTGAAGCAAAGAAGAAGAGGGAAGAAAGAAGAAGAGAAGAAGAAGAGAAGAAGAAGAAGAAAAAGAAGAAGAAGAAGAAGAGAGAAGAAGAAGAAGAAGAGAAGAAAGAAGAAAAAGAAGACAGAAGAAAAAACAGAGAAGAAAAAGAAGGAAGAGAAGAGAGAAGAAAAAGAAGAAGAAGAAAGGAGGAAGAAAGAGAAAGGAAAAAGAAAGAGAAGGAGGAAGAACGTAAGAGGAGCAAAGAAAAGAAAAAAGAAGAAGAAAAAGGAAGAGAAGAGGAAGAAGAGAAGAAGAAGAAGAAGAAGAAGAAGAAAAGAAAGAAGAAACGAAGAAGAAAAAGAAGAAAAAGAAAGAAGACAGAGAGAAGAAGAAGAAGAAGAAGAAAAAGCAGAGAAGAGAGGAAACAAAAGAAG